GGCGCGTTCTAAACTCAAGCGCAGTCAGTCCACCAGCATCATTCCTTTCCAACTCTCTGGTTCTATCTTACCAAACTCGCTCCGATCATTCCTCTTTGACTCAGAGACTAGCAAGGAATTGAATATAATGGAGCCTGAAATGGAATTGGAGGATACTGCGGATGTAGTTGATGGAGGAGTGATGGAGATAACGAGATCGAATTGGGTGGAGAGGCTGTTGGAGATTAGGAGCCACTGGAGAAATAAACAGCAAATCGACGGTCTGGATGGAGATAATTCTTCCAAAATGGTTGAAAACGGCGATACGGGCTGCACAGACAACGATGGTGATTGTGAAGCAGGTTATAGTTCAGACGAAGAAGAAGATGGCGACGACGGGAAATATGATCAAGAATCTTTCTCGAAATTTCTGGTTCGAGTACCCACATCCAATATTAAGCTATTTTCTCAGCTAGCATTCTTATGCAACATGGCCTATGTGATACCAACTATAACGGTATGGTAATTTCTTCCTTGCTGCCCATGCTTTCTCTTGGAATTCTTTTATGTCCATTCATAAGTCCAAGTCTTTTGTCTCTACATTGAATTCCTAGAGCAGGTGTCAGATTTTGCCATCGTGATACTTAAAACTAGATAGTCCAATTCACATGTAATATATACTGGAAAATCTGCCGCGTTTAACCACCAGCATTGATCAATTAGTTTTCCATCTTTCCTCCAGTTTCTTCCACTTTTCTACATCCATGGACTTGCACTAGGAGTATGGGGTGAAGATACTTTCTCAGGCCGATCCTTTAAGGTCCTCTCCAATTATTATGCTTACATTATATGAGCTTTTAAACAAATTGCAGGCTGATGACCTAAGGAAACAATATAGACTGCAATTTGTAACATCCTCCATTGAGAGGAAAGCTGAGGCGTCTGCAATTAAAGCAAAGCTTGATGAGGACTCGATCCGTGTACCTGTAGTTTCAGTTGCAACTACTGATAGCTGCCACTCGGAAAAAGACTTTAAGCACCCAATCCGTCCATCAGTTGCTTATGACATTGCTGCTTCAGCTGCATCTTATGTCCAATCTCGAGCTAAGGAACTTTCCCCTGTTGGTTCCGAGACACAAGACGAGGAAAATGATATGAATCCATTTGGAAGCAGAGAGGGAACACAAGAAGTGGCGGATAATTCCCCCCGATTCTATAAATCAGAAGTTGCAGTATATATGGCAGCATCAGCAATGACCTCAGTGGTTGCAGCAGGCGAGAAAGAAAAACAAGAGGCAGCAAGGGACCTGCAATCACTACACTCGTCACCTTGCGAGTGGTTCATTTGTGACGATTTAAGCACGTATACACGCTGTTTTGTCATTCAGGTAATCTTCTTCCTTCCAGTTGATCCAGTTCTAACAAAATAGGCCCTTGCATCAGCATCTATGCTATCTATAGAGAAAACGGAGTTCAGTTTCTACAGTAAACTCAGGCCTCAAATGACTTATGATCGACGTTACGCTATTATAAAGTGTCTGGTAATTAACTATCTATATCACGAATTTGGTAATCACCACCTGAAATTTAGATCAAGGATCAACATAACTTCAACCTCCATCCTCTACCTGACACTGCACAACTCACCATTACAAAGGCCATCACCACTTTACTCTCAAATCTAATGCAACGTGTGCATTTCTCAAGTATTGATGGGTCGTGTCTAGTGCAAAAGTTGTAGAGCATATAGAATGTCTGCATGACTGAGCGTTTCATTACTTTGACCTGCAGGGATCGGACTCTCTGGCATCTTGGCAGGCGAACCTTTTCTTTGATCCAACCAAATTCGAAGTAAGCCATTGCTATAGCTTTGGGTGGATTCATAATTAGAGTAGCCAGAGTGTAGCAAGTCACCATGTAGTTGTAGGGACACTATCTTTTTCTGCGTTTCAAAACGAATCAGTCTAGGAGGAAGCACTAACTGTTGAACAACTTATCATCCTTGTCCAGGAAACTGAGGGTATAGTTCACAGAGGTATCTATGAAGCTGCAAAAGGAATGTACCGACAGTTCATGCCTGAGATAATTGACCACCTCAATAAGTTTGGGGATCGTGCAAAGTTTCAATTTACAGGCCATTCTCTTGGAGGAAGTCTCGCCCTTCTAGTACATTTGATGCTCATTTCAAGGAAGATCCTCAAGCCATCCAATCTTCGCCCTGCCGTCACCTTTGGCTCACCATTTGTCTTCTGTGGAGGCGAAAAGATCCTGAATCAGCTGGGTTTGGATGAAAATATTGTGCAGTGTGTAATGATGCACAGAGATATAGTCCCTAGAGCATTCTCCTGTAGCTACCCCAGCCATGTAGCTGTGCTTCTCAAGCGTTTACCTGGATCATTCCGATCTCATCCTTGTCTAATAAGGAATGTAAGTACTTTTTGCAACTTAATAATTGCAACTTCTTTTTTGTCACAATTCACTCAGATGACCATAAGGGAGCCTATCTGAACTACTTTTTGCTTTGTAATGGTAACAGTTTGCTGAGAAGACAGCTTCAAGAATCTTTGACACACTGATAATTTAACTGGTCCTTCTTTCCTGTCGTCCGATCAAACTTTGAAAGAACCCATATTTGACTAATTCACGCATTGCTTTTGCAGAAACTGTTGTACTCTCCACTAGGCAAAATGTTCATCCTCCAACCAGATGAGAAATCATCACCTCCGCATCCACTACTCCCTCCGGAAAGTGCCCTCTACTCTTTGGACAAGGACAGATACAGGTACTCTAAAAATGCTGTCAGGGCCTTCCTCAATTGTCCTCATCCCCTAGAGACCTTAAGCGATCCCACCGCCTATGGCTCAGAGGGTACTATTCTCAGAGACCATGACTCAAGCAACTACTTGAAGGCAATTAACGGGGTACTAAGACAGCACACGAAGACGGCAGATAAGAGAGTAAGGATACCCAACCCGAGAAATCAAATGTGGCCACTGCTTACTTCACCATCCCCACACTTGTGGAGCCATCAAAGCTGTTTTGAAAGCAACAGGTATCCAAGTAGAGAGGTCCTGACTGGCGTTTAAAAGAAGCCTAAAGCCCAGGACATTCTGAAGAAACTAGGAAGATGTTTGTTAAATTGCAGACCTAGGATTTCAACTTTTTTATGTATAAATTCGTGCATGCCAGTTTCTTGTATATTTATCAAATACGTGTCTCTGTGCATTATCTACCATAATGCACAACGTGGCCTACCATTGTTAATGAAAATGGCGCGCTTGTGTACATGCCCGAGTTTAAGCTCAAAACCTGCTTTCGTTCTCCTGAGAGCTTTGTCCCTGTACTCTGCTATTCTAGTTCAAGATTTTGTGCACTTTTGGTTCTTAAAAACCAAGAAAACAGAGTCCCTAGAAGCCACAAATTGGAGCATGTACAAAGGATACAACCCTATAAAGCTGATGAGAAGTTCAGTTCCTCAGTAGACGTGAATAGATATGTTAGACTCACTGCCCAAATGGAGGAAATGAGGAATACATACTATACAACAACCACAAACATTCAGTTTCTCTCTATTTTTTCTCCTAGCAGATCAGAAGAAGGTAAATGATATCTAGTATTGGCTTGGAATATAGGTCCTGACCTGATAAGAGCCAAGGACCACTAAAAATCTAAAAAGTTGAGAGCTTGCGCAACGATACGTGATTTAATAGCATAAAGAAATCTATAGTGAGTACTTGCATGCACAAATCGACGATTTACATGGGGTCAAAGGGAGCAAATCTACATTCATTACACTCCAACATGCCGTTACTTGTAAAGACAACATGCTAATACTTGTAAAGATACTGGCTCCATTTATTTCGCAAAAAATAAACAGTATAAAAAATATTTTCCTAAAATTAATCGCTCGTACCGCTTGAAATTATTGGTCAATAGGAAATATTTTCATTATCGTCAGTAATTTATGTCCAAATATTTTCATAGACCATAAAAATATATTTCGTTCATTCTTTTTTGTATACGATACAAACGATCCTTTTTTTTGTAAATCATTCATTTCCCGCGAAACGAACGGAGTATATAACCTCCTCGACTCGTAATTAGCCTATTCAATCTGCTGCCTCCTCAGTCGCACTCAAATGGAGGGGCCAAGGACACGATCCCGAGAACCCACCAGACGATTCCCATCACCACTCCCCATCCCACGTATCGTTTTGTCATCGCACGGGGAATTTCAACGAGCGCCCCTGCGCTGCATCCTAACTCTTCAGTTCAAACCCACGTCAAACGAACAATCCCGTCCAAAGACCGCGAACCAAAACCCACACTCCCGATGCGGGCGAGCACGGTTCGATACCACCACCACCACCACCCGCGCCGCGACCCCAAAAAAAAAGACCCGAAAAGCGAAAGCGGATCACCCCCGCCCCAAAATTTCGCGCGCTTACCGGGACGTCCGTGACGCAGAACCTTTGCCGATGCAGAGAGAGAGAGAGAGAATCTTCAATGGGCCGAAGTTCAATGGGCTCCGGGGGATCATGGGCTCGACCGAGGCCCAAGCAGAAAATGGGCCTCCGTTCCGGCCCAAACCACCGGACGAAGAACTTGCGCTCTCTCTCTCTCTGGTTTTCTTTCCCCCACGCAATTCTCTTCTCCCTTCGTTCGTCTCTCCTCTTCTTCCTCTCCCAGATTCTATCGTCTCTCTCTCTCTCTCTCTCTCTCTCTCCCTCTCCCAAGCCAAAAGAGAAAGAGAAAAGTTTCGATTTTTATTCTCTTTTTTTTTGTCCAAAGGAGGTGTTGAAAACAACGAAGGATATAGAGTTGTGGAGGGGGGAGGAGAAACGAGCACGAAACCTCCCGATTTCTCTCTCTGGATTTGTTCCTCCTCTCAAGAAAGAACAATCGAATTCTCGCGTTACCACGCAGCGCGCCCCCCCCTTCTTCTTCCTCCCCTGATTTTCTCTCTCCCCTTTTTTTTCGGTGGGGGGGCCATTTTGTTTTCCTCCTCCTCCTCCTCCTCCTCCTGTTTTTTTCCTCCATTGATTGCCTCCATCTCTTCCTCTCTGCGCATTTGCCGTATTGCCCATCTCCTCCTCTTCATTATCTTCTTCTTCTTCTTCTTCTTCGTCGTCGTCGTCGTCGTCGTCTTCCTCCTGCTGGTCTTCTTCTCTGGTTCGGCGACCTCTCTGACGTCTCCCCACCCCCTTCCTTGTGGGTTCCTTCGGTTTCTTTCTTGTTCGGAACAAGATTCGAGTTCTTGTGCGCCTCCCCCGCCCCCCCACCCATTTCGCGGGCCTCGCTTAGGGTTTCGATCGCCCCGGCCTCCAATTCGACAACCCGCGATTTCTCCTTCTCCCCCACTTGTTTCGTCGTGTTCCGCACCGGTTTCGCTCCTCTAGGGTTTCCTTGTTGATTAGGAAGGAGAAGGGGGTCGCGTAGCCCTTTTGCTTTTGTGCTTTCTTACTTCGCTTTTTGATTTTCCGGGTCCCTTTTTCGACTGATTCATTTGGGCCGTTGTCTGTTGGCGATCTCTCTCTCTCTCTCTCTCTCTCTCTCTTGGCGGAGTGGGTGCCGATAAATTTCGCGGCTTTGGCTGCGGCGGTTTTTTTTTGGTTGGTTGCCATCTGGATTCGGATGTTGCGGGGATTTTTCTTGTAGGATAGCAGAATTTCCTGCTGCTGATACTTCCGGGGAGAAATTGATTCTCTTCGGTTCTCTATTGAACTCGTTGGGGATAGCGCTCGTTTCTGCCTCTTTTTCCCGTTTTCTGGGTAATTTTTTGGACCTCTGTGAGGAAGCACCGCGACGATTTCTGGGGTGGTTGGGGATTTGCGGATTGAGTTTGGCGTAAAAGGGAAGTCTTTGGGCGTGTATGGGCAAGCATGGGGAGAGTGCACAGCTGCCAAATGGGCTATTGCCCAATGGACTGTTGCCTGGTGAAGCAGAATCCGTCGTTCGGAAGCTCGACCCGGAGCGGTGGTCGAAGGCTGAAGATCGAATTGCAGAGCTCATTGCGTGCATTCAGCCCAACCCACCCTCCGAGGAGCGCAGAAATGCGGTCGCCACATACGTGAGCGGTCTCATCACAAAGTGCTTTCCTTGTGAGGTGGGATCCATTGCATCAATATTCCTCACGATTACTTATTCTTTTCAGCTTGATGTTTGCTATCGATTTAGTAAGTGATTGTAGCTTTCTTTAGAATGTCATGGTAATATAAATTTATGTTATCAGTTATGATTTATGAGCATTTGAAAGAGATGTTATTGAACAATACGGATAATGATGCTTCTTTGTGATCCTCATTATAGTGGTACTAGTGCTTTTGGAGCTATTAGTCAGAAGTCAGAAGGTAACTTCGATAAAGATTATGAAGATTCTGTGCTTCTCAGATGCTTGATGGTTTTCTAGATAAACATGACAGGGCACTTCGCCTCTGCATGCTATTTTACAAATGTATAGTCAGTTTACCTTTGTTATGGAACTATTGGGTTTTATCAAAATTCACCAAAATTCGGAGATTTTGGCCGGTTAACTTGATGCTTGGCATTTTCACAGCAGTAATAAACCTTTTATCACTACTTGTGTTCCAATTGGACAGTTAAGCTTTTCAGCCCTCAGTCATACAGAAGTTTTAGCTAATATTCATGTGTTTCTACCTCACCAGTTTTCCCCTCAGAATTTCTTGCAACATGAACATTTTACAGATTTATGTTTGTCAGCTACTTATTGGTGTAACTTGTGTGTGCCAGCCATCTTTATTTCAGGTTTTCACTTTTGGCTCTGTACCACTGAAGACTTATTTGCCAGATGGAGACATTGACTTATCCATATTTAGCAGTAGTCAGGACCTAAAGGATACATGGGCTCATCAGGTTCGTGACATGTTGGAGAGTGAGGAAAAACATGAAGACGCCAAGTTTCATTTTCGTGTTAAGGAGGTCCAGTACATTCAGGCAGAAGTATGTACCCTACTGTTTTATCGTATTAATTTTGTGGTGATTGATTTGTCTTTTACTTATTGTCCAGATATGTTTTTTTTTTTTTTTTGTAACAAAGTTATTGGCTATAAGACACTTCTTATTTCTGATTGGAAAAGGTTGTCAACATGCAGATGTACTAAACTGAAGTTATGATACATATTGAAATTTGATTATTTGTATTGTGTGTGACTTAGGCCCCATTTGGTTCAGCATTTGGAATTCTCATTTGGGCTCTAAAGTCCCTTGGCCAAATGCAAATGGTGTTTGGCAACTTTTTTTACTCACTTTGGGGAGATGCAATTGCATTTCCAATGCTCTCCAAGGGACTTTTGGTGGATACAAGGTTGGAGGTGCCTTGGGAAGTTGCATTTTCGGAATGCAACTTGCACTGTTCATCGTGCACCGTTCATCTTCCCCAGACAGCAGGTCCGGCGACCGCCGCCTAAGGGCTAGCCCGACCCCGGCGACCACCACCCGGCGACCGCCGCTTGGGGTCGCCGGACCCCGGGCGTCACCTAGGTCCCGCGACCTAGGCGACGCCGCTTGGGGTTGTCGGACCTCAGGTGTCGCCTGGGTTGCGTTGCCTAGGTCGCGCGACCCAAGGCATCGCCCGAGGTCCGGTGACCCTAGGCGGCAGTCGTCGGGGTCACGCGACCCCTACAACCGTCGCCTGTGGTCGCGCGACCCTAGGCGGTTGTCGCTGGACCTCAGGCGTCGCCTGGGTTGCACGACCCAGGCGACGCTTGAGGTTGCGCAACCTCAGGCCGCCTCGCCCAAGGTCAAGCGGCGGTGGCTGGCTACCAAATCTGGCCGGCGATGGTGGCTGGTGATTGAGCTCCACCGGAAACTTTTTTTTTTTTTTTAAATATTAGCAAAAGTCCTTTACAAAATATAGTTTTTACTAAACGGTATTTAGGCCAAAGTTGCTTTCAAATGTGATTTTACCAAACACTACTCGCATTTTGGAAAACCCCTTTAGCCCAAAGGTATTTGCATTCCCCCAAAGGCATTCACCCAAAGTCGAACCAAACGGGCCCTTAGCAATCCCTGGAAGTATCTATCTTCACTTCTCTATACATGCAAGATTAATTCCTTACTTTTTATGGATTTGCATCTCTTTCTTCTAAGTAAGATGACACGGTTCTTTTAGATGTTGAAATTGAGATCTGAGTGGATGTCATTTGAGAATTGGGACATATGGTTGGCTCCTGTCATTATATCCTTTGGACGGAAAAGTACATTTTTGTTGTGCCAATGATGAGCATATTTGCTTTAGTTTCTTCGATTATACTATGGAGTAGCTTAAGTTGCATTGAAGTAATGTCAGATCCCATTTTTTGAAGTCAAACCATCCTGGTCTAAGATGTGGAATGTACTTAGTTACTTTATTATAAGGTGAAAATAAAAGTCTAATTTTCTTTGTTTTTTAACTCGCCTTTGCCTTCACGCATTAAACTAAGTTGATGCAAAATCATTAGTGATTAGTTTTTAAAATCATACATATGTGATGACAAATTGAAGTTAGGCGATGAAAATGAGTAGTTAATTTTATCTGCCATGGCACATGGAGAGAAACCAAAAATTAATCTCCATGAAAAAGCATGGAGACTAACAGAGATTGATTCTGGTGAATCATTTTGTTCTGTGCTCATACATAGTCCTCACAGGAGAGCTGAGAATAAATCGAGCCATGCATGAAATTCCCATCTAACTCGGCTTGCTATATTCAATCCTTGGGGTATGCCTTTCTTTTTAACGGAGATCAATTTTTCCCATTTGCTAACTAGAAGGGAAATTTATGTTATTGGGCTGACTAGTCATTGCTCCTCTAGGGGTCTTCTTGATAAGAAATTTAGCACAGTTTAACCTTTTTGTGACAAAAATTACTCAAGTAGGTTCCTCTTAGCCTGCTGGTATTGTACTGCATATGAGATGTTATATAACTGGTTTGTTATTTTGGTTATTTCTTTTAAATCCCTCTTTGATAAGAAATTGCATTGTCTTCCTTTAATATCTGTGCAGGTGAAGATAATAAAGTGTCTTGTAGGGAATATTGTGGTAGACATATCATTTAACCAGCTTGGTGGGCTGTGTACCCTTTGTTTTCTTGAAGAGGTAATCTCCACGCACTTTGAACAAAAGAGATTGAACATAGACATGACCTTATTTTCTAAATATATTTTGCTTCTGCAGGTTGATAATTTGATAAACCAAAGTCACTTGTTCAAACGTAGCATTATCTTGATAAAGGCCTGGTGCTACTATGAGAGCCGTATACTTGGTGCTCACCACGGACTTATTTCCACTTATGCTCTGGAAACCTTGGTTCTGTACATATTTCATGTTTTCAACAATAACTTTGCTGGACCTCTTGAGGTGATGTTCGTTAATGTTGGCTATGTGCGCCTTACTGTATCCCCTTGCACATTGATCTAATAGTTTTTGTCTTGCAGGTGCTTTATCGTTTTCTTGAGTTCTTTAGCAAGTTTGACTGGGACAATTTTTGTGTAAGCTTGCGGGGTCCTGTACATATTAGTTCACTTCCAGATGTAACAGGTATTCCTTTCCCTTGAAATTTTTGTTATTTTTAAATATGGAAAGATCTGTTAAATTGGAAAAGAAAACGAGATGTGTCTTCCCACTTCCATGTCCTGATATTGCTTTCTTTAAACTATCTCTTTTTCAGCTGACCTGCCAAGGAAAGACGGTGGAGATTTATTACTGAGCAAAGGGTTTCTTGACGCTTGTAACTACGTCTATAGTGTTTACCCGATTGGTCAAGAAAATCAGGGTCAACCTTTCATTTCTAAACATTTTAATGTTATTGACCCCTTGCGGGTGAACAACAACCTTGGGCGCAGTGTTAGTAGAGGTACTTCATTTTTCAGCAATTGAAATGTGAAATATATGTCATATCTGTATTAGAAATAAGCGTTCACAATATTTGCTATATTTTACTGGTTTTTTGGCTGTGATGTCCATAACTTTCATCTTTTGTTTAAGGGAAGGGACGTTCTCTGCATCTTAAGTAATATTATGAATATGAAAAAGTAATTAATGTCAAAATTAAGTTTGCTTGATTTTAAGCACATTTTGAGAAGATTTAATCTGATTCGAATAAATTTGAAATTGGATGGGATATTGTATGAGTTATTTTACCATGTACTAGACATTCTTACAGCTACAAGCTGATCCATGCTTGAACTAGGCACTTTTCTGCCTATGCATTTTGCATAATAGTTTTCTTGGTCTGCTTGCGGGGCAATGAGCTGTGACATTTAGTTCCCGCTGATTGTAGGGCGGCCAAATTTTGAATGTGTGCTTTACTTATCTTCTCCTCAAACATTGCTATTTTTCTTTTCCTCAGAGAGAGAGATAGAGGGGAGAAATTTTTCGAGTATTCATTTTATATGTATTTTTCGCTGTTTTTGCCAGCAATGGCATAATTATAGGGGTAAAAAAGTTTAAGTAAAGTGAAATGAGCATTCAAAACTAGGACAACTGAAGGAATGATGAGCAAGAAATGATGTATGTATGTATGTTTGTTTGTGTATATGTATATGTATATGTATATGTATGTATAATAGGTGAAAGAGTGGGCGGGCTGACCTGTCCATGGCACCAGGATTGAATGGTTTTAGCATGGTCTCGTAGTATGGGCATTAGTTGCAGTAGGTAGGGCTCAACTTTCATTCTTCCTAGCATATCCGATCGACCTTTGGTTCGTCCCACTCGTCGGTCAATATTCAAAGTTGTTACGTAGAAAGGCTAAGTGGATTTAGGAGCAAAATAAGCCAGCTGTCCCTTTCTTAACAGATGCTGGCCCTGGCCCTGGCCCCTGCTCAGGCTAAATCAAAGTAGCAGCAGTTGTGAGACCAGACTCAAGGTTAGATAGAAGATAGGCTATTCGTTATATCAAGTCCCGGAGTCTGGCATCCTAATGAAAGAATAGCATACTTCTCATAATCTTTACTAGGCCAGCAATAATTCTTTATTCTCATTAAATTTTGACTGGCGGTAGAGTTTGTTCGCATTGTGTTTCAAGCGAGTTTTGTCCATCACAAGATTTGTGAAGATTCTCCTGTGCAGTTGTACAGTGCTTACTTTTGAGAGTTGATAGGTTTTCCTTATGAGATATTTCTTGTGCTTTATTCACGAATCTTATCTTTATAGACCAAGTTTGTCGATCTTATTATGTTTAATTTTTTCAGGTAATTTCTTTAGAATACGCAGTGCATTTGCATTTGGAGCTAAGAAGCTTGCAAGACTGCTTGATAATGACTTCCCTAAAGAAGACATACTCTTTGAAATAAACGAGTTTTTCTTGAACACTTGGGAGAGACATGGTAGTGGCCATCGTCCTGATGCACGAAGGGATGACTTGCGGTGGTTAAGATCGTCAAATGCTGAAAGCTTACAACGGTCCGAAAATTTGCGAAGCAATTCAACTGGCAAAAAGAGTGAGAGTATCTCAGTTCATGAAAGTCATTCTGAAAGTGCTCATGGTCCTCGTGGTGTGTCTTCTCAACATTTAAATCATATATCGGAGAGTGCGTCTAGAAGAAGTGACAGAAGAAGTGACACTTTAACCATATCTCGTACCCCAAGTCAGAAGAATCATGTAAACGTAGACCACTTAAGGGTAGCAGATAATAACAGACGGGAAACAAACTTGAAGCAAGCCACAAGCATTGATAAGGATCAGAGAAGTTCTAGAGCAGATGGCTTGGTGAATGACATTCAAGGAAGATTCCTTTTTGCGCGAACACATTCTAGTCCTGAGCTGACTGACGCATACAGTGAAGGGTCTTCCCAAGGAAGGTTTAATAGAGGGCCTGATGGTGGAAAAAACCAGACCACGTCTGCAAGATTGGATAATAGCAGGAGGAAGATTTTGGAAACTGATGGTACGAGCCTAGACATTTCGTCGTCAGCTGATGTTTCAGCATTGGTCGGGCATTCCTCAATTCAGCAAGACGTGACTACTGACTCAGACAGTTTAAATAGTTACCATGATGATGGTATTCGGTTAGGTGTCAGGGGTGAAAGTTTTGCTTCTGTCTCAGGATCACAAGGATTGCATCACGAAGAACAAGATTTTGTTAACATGATGTCATCTTCTCAAGCACATGCTTATAATGGACAGGTTCACATGCCTCTAAATTTGTCTTCTGGCCACTTGCCGCTGAATTTAATTCCAATGGGGTATGCGCAGAGAAATATCCCTGGAATGATTCCTTCAAATATTCCATTTGAGAGTCCCTGGTTAACGAATATTTCATTTCCTCCTGGATTGGTCTCTCCTTCATTAGCTCACTATTTCCCTGATATCAGCTTGGGCATAAATCTGGAAGATTCCATAGAACCTAGCGAACAAAATCTCGGTTCCAAAGATGCAAATCTTGTTGAAGTTAATGGTGAATTCTGGCGCGAGCAAGAGAGGGAGCTAACTGGAGGTTTCGATTTAGGTAATGGAGATGTTCAATCTCTTCAGTCGGATGATCAGCAACAGTCAACTTCGACGTCTTACGGCTTTGCTCCTTCATCTAGGGAAGGCAACTCTAGCACTTATCCTAGAGTACATCAGAAGTCTGCTCGGGAAAACCGAGGGTCGTCTAGGGAAGATAAACTAAATGCAATTCAACATCAAGGTGGTAGAGAAAATGAGGTTTACATGGATGACAGGTCTGGAAGTTTGAGGTCCTTGCGAGCTACTCTGAGTAGTTCTAGAAGTAAGACTTCTTCAGAGAGCTCTTGGGAGGGAATTTCAACGAAGTCGTCGATGTCAACAAGAGAGAAAAGAGGTAGGAAAACTGGTCCTGGTGCCTTTCCATCTAGTACATATGGGAAAGGGAAAAGCTTATCAGAGAATTCCTCTGCTCAGGCAGATGATGATTCTATGGACTTGAACCTTTCTTCAAGTATTGGACATGAACTAATGGAAAGAAGCGCAGGACCTCACCCTGTTGATTCTGGGCATGTTCCGACACATCAATTGCCTGGGTTTGAGCCAGCTCAAACTGGTGGAACAGATTCCATGATACCAATTCTCCTGGGCCCTGGTTCTCGCGAAAGGCCCATGGACAATTCTCGGGTTTATGCATTTTACCCTACAGGGCCCCCAGTTCCAATTCTTCTTTTTCCTCATATGCCAAGCGATGGTGGCAGTTCAGATGCATCAACGAGCCATTTTAGTGTGGAAGAAGTGCTAGATAATAACGACACTGGCCAGAATTTTGATTCATCTGAGGGACTGGATCATCCGGAGGCATTGAATACTTCTGTCTCTGTTGGACCATCAGTCCCTGTTGAGCCATCTGAGCACAAGTCTGACATACTTAACAGTGACTTTGCAAGCCATTGGCAAAATCTGCAGTTTGGACGACTTTGTCAAAACTCTCACTGCCCTACTCCTATGCTCTATCCGTCACCCAACGTCTTATCCCCTATATGTTTGCCAGGCCATTTTCCATGGGATGGAGCTGGAAGACCACTCTCAGCAAATACTAATGCCTTTAGTTATGGGCCTCATCTCGTTCCAGTTTCCCCAGTTCAACCTATTTCTAATGGACCTGCCAGTATTTACCATGTTGACGAAATGCCAATATATCGTAGTGGTGGGACAGGGACTTACCTGCCAAGTCCTGTAAGATTACTTTATGCATAAACGTTATTCACTCTTCTTTCTAAAAGATACATAGATATTTGCACTCCATTCCTTTTTTATTTTCATGTCATCTATTCTTCTTCATTTTCTTTGATGTGCACCTTCCATGCTATGATTTAGTGTTCCAATTTTCACCGAGTCCTTCATCTTTTAACCCTCTGCTTCACTGTTCTTGGTTAGGGGATTTGCCTTCTATCAATGCTTTTCTACTTTTGTTTTCCCTGTCACCTCTTTCAATCAGAGAGAAATATATAATTGGAGGGGGAAAGAGGAGTATAAGAGTATAAGTAATCCTGTCGTGGTTCCTGTTAGTGCACTGTTGGGGAAATAGGATACTGTTTTGTTTTACCGAATGAGTTTAATACTGATCTGGTTCTCTTCGTGCTCTCTTACTCATTAAGTTTAGCCATGAGTTTACTCTCTTATATTTTAGATGCCTGATATGTTTTCTTAATTCTTTCTTCAGAAGGTTTCAGCGAGGGAGCGGCACTCGTCCAACACAAGAAGGGGGAATTACAGCTATGACAGAGTGGATCACCATGCTGATAGAGAAGGGAACTGGAATGTTGCTTCTAAATCCAAACCTTCACGCAACCATAATCGCAATCAGTCCGAGAAATCTAACTCAAGGCCGGATAGAGTGGCAGCAGGTGATGGCCAGTCTGAAAGACCATGGGGCTCATATAGACATGGATCATTTTCTTCGTACCATTCTCAGAATAGTCCCATCCGCACGACTACAACACAAGGTGGTCCGGCCAATGTAGGATATGGCATGTACCCGCTTCCAGCCATGAATCCAACCATCCTATCATCAAATGGACCTACACTGCCACGTGTCATGATGTTTTACCCTTACGGTCATAATTCTGCATACGCTTCTTCATCAGAGCAGCTTGAGTTTGGCTCTATTGGAACAGTGGGTTTCTCAGGCATGAATGATGCGTCTCAACTGAATGAAGGAAGCCATTCTAGCAGTATAATGGAGGAACAAAGATTTCATGGAACTCCTGCCTCACAATCTCCACCAGATCAGCCGTCTTCACCCCACCTCCGGAGGTGATCAATTTCCTTATTATTGGAGCAGGCACTATGTTTCAAGATATTGAAATTGAGGGACTGCAGCTGGCATTTTACTTGACGGTCTAGCTCTTGTCGGTATCCCTGCTTGCGTAGAGACCATTCATCTTGCTTGTTTGACTATTAAAGCAATGGTGGCGACAAATCTCCCTTTTTGCAGAGGTTGGACCACCACTCTTCAACACCTCTTTTGACTGTTCCATGATGCCATCATCTGTATCATCTTCACCGCGAGCCCTGGTTAATTTGCTCGATCCAAAGTTGAGCGAAAATGGTCTCTTAGTCTCTGCATTTTTTCGTATGAAGGTAGGTTCTGAATGGAGAAAATGCAATGAGAAATTTTACCCAATGAAGTTTCATCCTCCCCCTTTGTCGTGACCGGTCGATTATCTTCCTCTTCGGCGATGACCATCTGAGAGAGAACCAAGGAGTTGAGGAAGAAATCGGGTTCCACACTGCATCTGTTTGAAGGACAATGCAGAAGGGTGGAAGGGGAGAGACTGCGGTCAGGGAGTAGATTTCCAGTTTAGGTTTACACATTTTACAGCTAGTTGAGTAGTATCATCAACTTTGTTTTGAAAGGGTATTTTGCTATTACAGGAATGTACAAGTTTGTTGATTAGTAGGCAATGGACGTAGGTTTCTCTCGCAGATGTCTTGTTTGACATGTTTGACATGGTATCATTCATGCCATTTCCTGAAGGGGTGAAGTTACGCAAGATTTCTTCCATGGTATGGTTAGTCTTGCTTCTGAGATTAACCACGACGTAATTGTGAATTGAGAATCACTTCAGAGTTCCTATGCTCCCTTATCGGCTAATCGAAGAAAGAATCTCCTTTTGTCGTTCTAGCCTAGATCTGTCCATCGCGGTATCGCAACACTAGTTATGTTCTTGTGAGGAATCTTATTAATCAGATGATTTCAAGTGCCGATGGAATCATACGAAATTATTAACTGTATAAACGGGCAAAATATTATTAGGTTAAAAGTCACTTATGCTAAAGAATTTGAACCGTTAACCCAATTTTTCACTGTAAAAGGTTACTAGCCATAATCACCTTATCCCCGAGTTACTTAAGACTCCAGGACTCTTGAATAGTGATACGGATAGATACAGTCAGAAACACTTGAGCCAACAGAGGAGAGCTCTGTCTTGCCGTGCTCGGCAGCTTCGATGGCAGCTGGTGGCTCAGCAACCCCGTCGGGTGTGAAACAGGGTATCCACAGGCTCTGCCGGCATGCGTGCTTCTTGGTAGTTAGTTCACTTCTATGAGGCAAGCAAGAATAGCTTTTGGATTAGAAGAGTTATGGCAGGTGAATTAAAGTCGAGTCTTGGCTGTCTTGCTGGGCACTTGTTATCGGAATCTGAAGATCCGACCGATAAAGTTAGCGGATCAAAATGAGCCTGTGGCAAGTTGATCAACCTTTGGAAGTTACAGGGAGGTGGGTGGGGTTTGAGATAATATTATGGCCGGAGGTTTGTCTCCATCCTACAAGGACAATGCAAAACTCTGCCATGCAAAGAGGAGCTAAAACTGGAGAATTGAACCACACAACCACGGCAGCAGGATGGAGCTCCCGGAGCCAGAGATTGAGCACAGCTTGGCCCTTGACTGAGAAACCGTTGCGGAGGATGGCAAATTGCTCAAGCCTAGAATCGGAACCATCCAAGTTCGAGGGAAGTCTTAATAACGTGAGTGATGGCGGAGTTAGTTTGAGCTCTGATGATGTCGCGGCAAATGAGAGGGCGGTTTGTTTACGAGGAATCAAAGTGGTCCGGTCAAGAATGGGAGCAGTTGAGGTCCAATGATTAGCAGCAGGAAGATGCGGTGATAGCCAATGGCCAATCCAACTTCATCCTAATTATATGCTTTCGGCTCTGCTGCTTTACTATGGCTTGTTTCTTTCATTCTTTTGAGCTGTATATTCTGCAAGTACAGAACAATGAACATCTGAACACTGTATACATCACAGATGCCTCCGAAATATTTATCAAAAAGTTCAATTTGAATCTGGTATATAGGCTCGAGAAGCCTAGGCCGAGCAGTCAACTGGGCAGCATGGAGAACCCTCATTGCAATGCCTTCCATCTGATAGTGGATCAAGTCTGCTTGAAGGACAGGCCCGCAAATTTCAAAGCATACTCTGCGCATGATTTCTCCAGCTAAGGCACCCGCCATTTGATGTAGTTTGGAAACCAGGGATAATGTAGTCTTTGACTTGCTTCGGATGCGGAACTCCTTTGCCCATTTCCACAAACTATGTTAGGACCAATCTCATCAGAGCTGAAACACCATATTTTTGCTGCCTCCAAACCGGACCTTTCGCTCAATATCCTCGCACAGATCTTCGTATTTATCTCTTGGACCTATATCGCCTATATCAGTGTGATCAGCAAGACACCCCGCCATAGGCCGAGCTTCCATGAATGATTGCGCTCAGTTGCGTGACCTGCCCATGACACATGGGAAGATCTCCCGGTTACGGTCTCGAAAATGCATACAGTGGGTTCCGAAGACGCGATTGAGCACTGGCTACAAATTATTACTTTAGATCTTTGATCCACTTTTGTAAGTGTACTTATCCAGCACCAACAATGATGAGCTCGCCGGATCCAACTTTGCCAAATACCTTTAATGCCTTTGAGCAGCTTGGGAAGGTCAGATTTGACCTTGCACTTGACAGCTACACTCACAACTGGGAAGACAGAATCTCATGGCAAGGATTGGGTGCATGCCGACTTCTTTTTCATTTGTCAATGTAGGCGTTCTTGATAATGAACTGATCAAGATGAACCAGAGCCACAATGTTGCCACAAGGCACATCCTCAACTGTCTGGTGCTTCTTTCCGGTCCGATAACAGTCCTCTAAATACTCATAACATGAAGATCCATCCTCCCACCAGGGACATAGTTGGGCCAATGAAAACCTTACCATAGAATATCCAGCCAAAAGCAAAAAATCTGCCTTTGTCGGAAGCCGGAATTATCCTTGACACGTAAATCATGAAAGGCCTGCGAGGATCAATCTCTAATTGCAGTAGCATATAGGTCATCTAGCGGACCATCATAGAAGTTCTCAACACGGTACTCCTGTGCCTTAGCTGGGAAAGGAAGGCAGAATGAAATCATCTGCAAGATTGCACTACCTGCAGTAAGCCAAGTCTGCATCGCTTCCTTCAACAGAGCCTTCCCCACTGGATACTTTCCACTCCCCTTCATATCAACTTTCGGTGTTCCCATCATACCCCACACTTCATCTTTCTTGTCATCCCGATAATCTGTTTGATAGGCTTGTAACACGCCTGCAGGTAGGGGAACCAGTGTACTTGCTGGTCCATTTCTTGGTAGCAGGGTCAAAGAAGTTCTCACCCGACAGCCTTTCCATCATCCTTTCCTCATTCACACCAAACTTTGAAGCATTAAGCACAGCAAGAGTGTAAAGGCCCAGCCATGCACGGGCCATTATGGTAATTAATATTATTCTTCATGTGGCACTTCTCATGGTTAAGTACACGCCAATTACCAAAGGTTATAAAGATGGTGTTCGCAAATATTGCGTCCAATGTCAAATAAAAAATTTCTGTATTTTCTTAAAACACATGTATTTTTCCAAGGGCCAGATGAATTTGCTAGAGAGACGATAAAATGATATGCGGTTAATATCTTAGACCAGTTGAAGCGCAAAAAAGCAGGCTAAGCGCATTTTCCCAAATAGAACGGTATGTGTTGCTATCAAGTCTATAAGAAGTACAAAGTTCTATCAACTCCTAAACTCTGACTCTGCTGATCATACAAGATTCACTCACATTGCCAAGGAAATCGTATGCCACCAATTGTACAGCGGAATCTTCTTAATTGGTGAGTAGTGTAGCGAGGTCTCTTTTGTCCCTCTAAGTTACATTTGTGGTGGGGTGGCTAGCTACCAAGTATGAATTACAAATCCAGGAACATCCTTCGCTGAAGGCAAATTTGCCAAACAAAAACATTGACAAATTCACGATGCTTCTATATGGATTGGAACCAACTCTGCGGTTTGCAGACTCTTAGTGGCCTTCAGCTATCGAGGCGGTTAACTTGAAGAAGAGCTTCTTTTCCACTTGGCGAGGTGTGTCAAGAAAGAATGGACCTCATTGGGGTCTCGCAAAGAGTACGAGGCCGTGGTCTCCCTCGGGACAGAAGAAACTATAATGGAGAAACCGTGTTTAGTTTTTTGAATAACCTGCAACCATTCATGTCCAAGTTATTACAGTTAGCAAAGAGTGTTCTACTCATATAGCTTTTCTTAACCCTCAAATCGTTCTTTGTCAAGATTAGGTTTTTAATTTATTGCTAGACTTTGGAATAGAAGCATAGGGTAAACTTAAATGCAATGTTATCCTGTTTCTAAGTAAGTGAAAGATCAAGTCCACCTTTTGTACGTAGATTGGACCAACTAATAGCTCTAATAGAAGAGAAATGACAGAACTACACAAGATCTTTGATGAAAGTCCAGTATCAGATATACGATCCAACACCTTGAAAGCATCTTCATCAGTATCATCGTCCCCTATATACAAGGGAAGGATGTTACAATGGCCATTCAAGTCGAGACTTTCTAGTAAATATTCAATGGCTCGGCCTTTGTCCCATTCAACCGGAGGACGTATCTCCATAACCTGTTCAAGCAAATTATAAGTGCATCATCCAAAATGAGCTCGATGCACTTATTTAGCAAAACCAAGAAAGAAAGAGGTTCTTTGCGCTAAAGCAATATAATCTTAGTGAATATGCTTGCCTTATGACCAGTCAAATTGTCTAGACCAATTCATTCATGTACCTTTTTACCCCAGGTAATTCTATATGTTGGGTATGCTTCCATTGTAGATTCTACTATCTGCTTAAGTTTCCCAACATCCTGCGGAGATGTAACAATATCCCGTTATTGCTAATCATAAGAAACAGGGTCCAAGATTCTAGGACTGAGTTAAAACATATTTATTAGATATATGAGGGCATAAATACTAGCATAGACAAACTGTGGAATGATTATTCCTCTAATTGGGTGGTACAAGGAGCGCGTAAGGATCACCTTCTCATGGACACAACGGTAGTGCACTGATATGCAATACTTATTGTCTTCAACCACGGCACTGTCTATTCTTGTAGTTCTTTCTTTCAACAGCCTCATTATCTGCGAGCACCAACAACCAAAAAAATGCACAAACACTATGATAGGAGGAATCACATTCTCAATGCTGCAAGACATTTAATTTGATTGACATCCAAATGTCAGCAGTGCACAGAAAGTTCTTACCTCCTGAACTGTATCTAAGAAATCTTGAGCCGGTTGGAACCAAACGATTTCATCCCCCTAAAACAGCAAGCACTATCTCTTGATTCGAGTGTCAATTTGTTCTCACTTGTTCAGCATAATAGGAATGCCTCGCAGATTAAGTGCCAAAGCATAGAATTATGTGATTTAGAGACAAACCTTTTCGTCGAAAGCTCTGGTTTGATGCCTACCATCTTGGCTCTTCGAGGAGGCTAATGGGAAGGATATATCCATTCCATGACTTCCAGCATAACCGACATTGTTCAGTTGCACAAATTCAAATACCTAAACAAAGTGTCCAAATTTTTCTTATTTAGCTAAAGAAAAGCAGGATGAATCTACAGATTCCTGATGTGTGGTTCCTAAACTGTACTTGATGAAAAAGCAGCAGAATGCGTGAATCATCAGAACACAGAAATGAGCATACCTTGTCGCGACACCTTCCACTAACAATTGCAGTGGGAAAATAGTCTGCAACTTCGCGTACGGCACAACGCATCTGCATTTTAAGTCAGTCATAGACACACCTCAATATTTGTCATATTTGTCTATCAGCAGTTTGCACTGAATGAGCAATTGTTTAACTACATATGCCCTATGGAAACCAAGTGATTTTTGTGAGTTTGATGTGAGAAAACTGAAACTCGATAGTCAATTGCTTTCACTTGGTTTGCTGTGTTTTATATTCAATCAATCAATGCTTGGCGATTCCCTATCATAAGGTCTAGAATTCGGAAATTCAATCCTATGAAGGAGAGCAGACGCACCTTTTCTGTCATGTACGCCTGATCAGGGTTGTCTACAATCTGAGAGAGAGTGCCATCATAGTCCAAGAACACCGCGATCTCTTTACCTTTGGCTTTCTTCATAATTCCTTCAAATGCGCACAAGGCAGACGGTTGCTTTCTCTGCATAATGTATTAAAAACCTCGCCTCTTGATTAACATGAACATATGCTCAATAAAAAATGAAGTACTGTGAAAGAACACAAGCATCACAAGAAGTTCAGAAATGAAAAGATAAGAGGATGCTGCAGTTCAATGTGCTTACTAGCCATGAAGAGTAAGAGCCCAAGATAGAATCTCCATCGTCTTCCAGCCTCGCTGTTGAGAAAGATCCCATGTTCTGATGTTGCGTGGGTAACTGGGGGAATCCCATCTTAGATTCAATCATAGTACTTCTCAAGATCTACTTTACCTGCGAGATTTAAGGAGTTATATGTTTAAAAATATATATAAAAAAATATAAAGAACGTGCACATGGATACTCTAATTCCTATTGCATATCATCTTCCTAGTACGTTACTGGATCAACATTAAAGCCATGGATGACTCCATAAAGGAACGCTAGTTCCAGGGCTTTAATCTAGATGCTGTTTTTCTGGTGAAAGCTTTTAAACAAATGATGCTCCATTTAAGTAAAGCCGGTTCGTCAGTGGTGAGAATCAAAACGCTATGTTACTCGAATCCTCGACGACATTGATATCGAGGTGCCCACAATCTTAATCCTCGAGATCCGTGCAGGCTTGCATAAAGTTACAAACGTTAGGCAATAAACAAGGATTGTATAATGGACATTAAAATCTAGGTCAATAAACAATCTCGTATAATCTTTATATTCATATCCCATCAAGAGAATCAAGTTTAGTTTCCAGTTCATGCAGAAGTCTGGTCTCATATGGCAATAATACTATGAATCACAACACCGTAAGACTCCACCAACATGTGATTCATGACTCCTTAACGAGCCAAAAGTGAAAACAGACACTTTTGTACACTGAAGAGAGAGCAAACAAATCCAAGAGGCAAGGTTAACTCAAAGTGCTGAGCACAGAGAAATCCTATGCGCGCAAAACCACCAAAACTATTCACATGATGAGCTGGGGACAAAAAAAGTACAGTATGAGAAAAAGGGTATGCATGATTCACACGGCACACTCTTCTTTTACTAGTTATAAGTTGCAAGAAAGTTTCATAGGTAGGTGCGGCGTTCGTTTGTCCTGCACCACGACCCGTTCACGTCTCTTCTCGGCAAATTCATTTTTGTTGTTGCCGAGTATCACGCGCACGTAGCCCTTCGATATGGATAGACATCCTCTCGATTTGAAGAGGCGAATTAGTGCAGTTCATCCTTGTGTGGTCATGGCGTCACCAAGGACTCAAGTGTCGAAATCGGTTTCTAAGCACTCGCATATTCTCAACTAGAGAAAGCTAGAGTGATGGGTTGGAAATCTAAGTGTGAATTCAGTCCATTAACATAACTTATTTGTTACTAAGAGGACCCATATGGATTATCCGTGTTAAAGTAACCGTGAAGGACTGAAAAAGAAGCTTCATTTAGAAGGCAGTTGTCACAGGGTATTAATTCGCCAAATCAAAGGATACTCACCAACTCTCTTTATAGGACAGATTATCGTCTACTCAAGTAACTTTTAACGTCGAATCCACGTGCTTTCTAACTCACCTTCCAATCTTAAAATTAGATGGACTGAAGTAGGATGGCAATGCAACTTTCAGTCTTCAATATTAACAGTAATCGTGTCCTAGATACGTATCATATGACATATCGCACCGTAAATTACGTGGGTCAAAAAGCAGTTATATATATAGATGTCTATGATTTATCGTGTGCCTTCACCCCAAGAAATTTGTTAACCGGAGACAGAGAGAGAGAGAGAGCATAGGATCGTAAAAGATTAACTCTCTCAGTCCCGAGTTGTTGTCTGCAACATTTCGGGATCGACTTGATCATTGTGAGGATCCACGAAGTACATGGTGAGATACACGGAACAAACATATTTGGCCGTATTTTGTGGCGCGGGGGGTACGTACATACACGTCTAGCCGGACGAATGCTCTAAAGGGTACCCATCACAGTATGCAGAAAGGTAGAGAAGGTTGACGCGTGAAAGCATGAGCAACAACGAGAAAGCTTGATTTCTAGACGAAAGAAACCGACTTCTGCATGAAAACGTGAATGGCAAACATAAACACTAGAGAAAGAGAGAGAGAGAGAGAGAGAGAGAGAGACTAACCTTGGGCCAGAATGAGTAGCATGGGAAAAAGGCAGGAGGGAGGGGGAAGAATGGGAGCAGGCGAGGAAGCTTTATTTATAGAGTGAAAGCCAAGAGGATTTGGCCACTGTAGTCACGGGATGCCTGCTCCAAGCTCCACAACCTTTCTCTTGCTTTCTCCTAAATCCCATCTCTCATTGGACCGACCTCCTTCGCACCAACTTAAATTGACCTTTGTAGCCCTAATTGACCAACCTAATATGCCCTTATTTTGTCTCGTGGGCGGCCCTTCATTTAATTGGCTTTCGCGCGCGCCAGAATAAGTCGTACCTAATAAAACATGGGTCATCTAGCACGGGGGATACTATGTTCGTGGCCTAACTCGAGAAAGGTCGTGTTTGGTTTCACGAGTTCGAGGCATCCATCGCTCTTTTCGACATAGCATGACGCCCGAATCATCTTAATAACTCGATCGACCCTTGAGCTTCCTTACACGCTCGCCTAGTCCATTTGCATGCCCTTAAAATAATTTTTACATAGCTTTGTACTCAACTGGGTTGGCTGAATCTCATTTATAGATTTATAATGATTCCTCTTTCGACCCAAAAAAATTAAAATCACAACGGTCCATGAAATTTTTCGTCATAATTACACATAGTACGTAGTTACAAGCTTGCATGAGAATTTGGCGCATATATATAACGTTCACGATACTCTCTCCGGTTCATTTTATGTTCTCCAATGCCATCTCAAAGGTTTCTGCGAAAGGCTGCTTTCCATTCCATAATGTTGGCATTTACCGACCTAAACTTTGGAAAATAATCAAGAATACTCGAGAAATTCGATAAAGATTTCTTAATCGATTCTCACATTTTGATTTCAATGAAAATTAGAGGAAGCTACATTGGTCGTTCTCTCTCGCGCTTTTTTTTCTTTGTTAGTGGAAAAAAAAGGGGGGGGTTGAATTGAGGTAATACGATAAACAGGAAAAGTACCACAAAAGTGTTAAATATATTGTTTTGATACCAATTCGGTCCTAAATATTTCAATTGAATCAATATAGTCCTAAAATTTTTGCATTTGTGTCAATTAAATCTATCTGACCAATTTAGGTTGGAAATCGTTGACATTAACACCAACCATCCTACTTGGCACAGTCGGCGCTGACATGAATAATTTTTTGAATTTTTTATTACTTTCTTTTGTTTTTTCCTTTTTCTTTTCTTTTTCTTATTCTCTTTTTTTTTTCTTTTCTTCCCTTTTTTTTTCCAACTGTGGGCCGGCAAGGGCCAGTAATCCTCGCAGGCCACGAGCAAGGGCCTCCACGCCCAAATCCAAGCAAGGGTCGAAACCCTCATCGGCCACGGGAGAGGGCCTCCACGCCCTTGCCAAGATCTAGGCGAGGGCATCACGGCTCTCGCTGGCCAACAAGTGAGGGTGTCAGCCCTCGCTTGGATCTGGGTGTGGAGGCCCTCACCCAAACCAGGCAAGTCACTAGCCCTCGCCGGCCTACATTTGGGAAAAAAAAAAGGAAGGAAAGAAAAGAAAAGGAAAAGGAAAAAACCAAAAAAAAATTAAAAATTGTCCACGTCAATACCGGTCATGCCACGTAAAACGGTCAGCGTCCATGTCAGTAACTTGTAGCCAAAATTGGCCGGATGGAGTCAATTGGCACAAATTCAAAAGATTTAGAATTAAATTGGTCTAATTGAAAAGTTTATGACTGAATTGATACCAAAATAATAAGTTTAGGACTTTTTTGGTACTTTCTCCTACTATAAATCATGTCAATCAAATGTCAAGAATTAATTAAAAGATGTTAGATATCGCACACGCTCTACATTGCAATTGACTTTATCGACCATGCATCATATAATCAATGAGTCAGCACGATATTTGTTCCATATATTATCATCAATTAGAGAGATTGATTTACGTTCATTCATTAGATAGGATTGCCTGAAAAGTTCCTTTCCTTTCTTTTCTCATTCATCTGGTCAAGGTCATATGCATGGGTCTTGAAAGAAAAACGTGACCATAAGCAAGATATTATTTGAGCAGGGTCCTGCAAGGACCGGAGAAAAACTATTCCCCGATCGAAAAGATGTGCCTATGTTTGTTCTTTGCTAAGGTCAAAGTAACTCTAATTTGCCAAGGCAGATCTTCGTCATCTTTTTCAGCCTGAAGAAGGGAAGAGGGAATATAAGATCCGATCCCTTCTTTGTAGCCTAGAAATGGAAGAGCAAAACAAAACGAAAATATATAAGATTTCTTGCGTGGACAATAGATAATTTAACGGAAAGTATCTACTATCAAGTGCATCGATGCAATAGATAATTTTTCGAATCTTTCCATATCAAAGACACATGACTTTGGTAAAAAAATATATTTATTTATTTAGTTACTCAAAAGTTAAAGGATAAGCCCTTTGCAGCTATCGTGATATTGTTTTGCTAATCCTTTGGTTATGCATGATTGGGAGATGAAAGAAAGAGATGATTGGACTGCAGACCTAATCGAAGTCCAAGACTCACGGGGAAACTGAAAAGCTTGAGATAAAAAGGGAATATTAGTTAGCAATCATCATAGGAAGTTCACAAATTCATTGCTCGAAAACGTTCCCATCACAATCAGAGTTAATCAAATGTAGGAAGACGACCAAGACTTACAAAGCGCTAATCCCGTTTTGTTCTTAATTACACTAATTGTCGTGAAGTTAAAGATCGGAAGAAAGTTGTGCTTCAAGAATCTCCTAATCCGAACATCAATTGCAACTGCCCTTAGAACGACCAGGAGATCAAAGAGGCGAACTTGTTCTCGACATTCCATATAAGTCGGACTGGTCGTTCAAGATGCTGTATGATCACAACCTACAAGGCGTATACAACTCGCGGTGTCTTTTTGTATCTTACACAACAACAATCGCCGAACGGCGGCATTAAATGAGAATGTAAAGGCATTTCCATCTGATCGGATTCTATCATATAGCTCGAGCCGGAGGTTCTTTTCTCCTCGCTTACTTTTGTAATGTCTAGCATTATGACTTTGCTTTTAATCCACCCTTTTCATTCCTAGTTTAGGGGCTTAAATTCCTGTCCTCTTTTCGCTTAGTCATCCTAAGCTCGTGAACTACGGGCGGTGGGACAGAACGCAATCGAGGCCCATCTCTGGCTTTTGTCCTCGTGGTTCCACGCTACCCCCAATGTACCATCGCAACTCCACTAACCCTAAAGAAAATGATTGATCGAGTGGAACAGCTACTAAAGTAGGAAAAAGCAAGCGTGTTAGTCAGTTTCGCCAAAAGTGTCCCCTAGCTCATTTCAATTGTTAAGTCAATCATCACGAGCTGGAAGAGAGATCTACAGAGCATTTGCAATCGAGTTTTTTAAAAAAAAAACGTGGGACGATATTTTCTGGGCCATGGAAGATCTTCACAAGCCAATCAACCTTAGCTTTCCCGACATCGCCTGCTAGAAGACATCAATGGGAGATCGAATGTAGCAAGATCCACTTATAAACCATTGAAGAAGCTACGAACATACGTGTTGATTCGCACTCTAATGTACAGACCGTGAATATTGCAAAGACTTGAGCATCCTAGCACGTGATCACCCTTCTGCAGTAATACGGTTGTACCCACATAAAACTAGGAGTGAAATCGATTGTATTCATGCACATATTGTCTTGGGAATACAATGCTTTTGCACACTCTTTATGCAACAACATTATCGCCTTATTAACGCTGGTACTCCATCTTCTTTGCTAAAAGACGTAGCGTAGCGTAGCATACAATATGTTTCGATTAGTTATTTCAAAGCTCCGTTTGTTTCAAGGAAAATATTACATTTCTAGAAAATATTTTTCTCGAAGTCAATATAAAGAAAATAACAATATTTTACGGTGTTTGATTGAAACTTAAACAATAACTGAAAAATAAAATTTAATCGTTTGTAAAAGAAGATTTGATTTGATTTTCCTATAGACACATACAATATTCGAACTCTAGAAACTTGCGCATAGACATCGAGGAACCAAGCACGAGCACTAGGATCACAGGCGCCATAGACCCAGGCACGGGCACTTGGGTCCAGAGCAAAAGCACAGGCACTGATCCCAAGTCCATAGAGGCCGAGCTTGAGGCCCCGATGCCTGTGCCTTGATCCCTAGCACTTGGGCCTTGGTCCACAAAAGCTAAGCGCTAGACCTCTGTGCCCGGGGCCATAGAGATCATAATAGGGACCTGGCACTCGAGCTCATGGCCCTAACACTTAAGCCCTAGTCCATCAAGCTAGGCCCAGGTGCCCGTGCCTGGGTCCCCAACAGTTGGGCTTGGATCCTCGGTGCACAAGCCCAAAACTACAAAGGCCAAGCCCAGATCCATCGAGGCTGGGCCAGGCTCGGGTCCATCAAGGCTAGGCCTGGGACCTCAGTGCCCAAGCTCGAGACCCGAATGCCCATGCCCAGATCCTCGGTGCCCAGGCCCGGCCTAGATTGACCCGGGCACTAGCACCACTATCCCGAGTTAGGGCCTCAATGGACCCAGGCTTGGGCACGAGGGATCCGAGCCCGGACTTGGGCGACCTAGGCATAAGCACCAAGGCCCAAGCCTCGACTTTGGTGGGCCCAGGCTCGAGCGCAAAGGATCCTAGCACTGGCACCGAGGACTCGAGCACAACGTTTGTGGATCTGGGCCTGGGTGCCAAGGACCCAGGCATGGATACTAGGGTCCCGCGCTTGGCCTTTGTGGATCCAGGGCCGGGCACTAGGGCCTTGAGCCCGGCCTCGATGGATTCGAGCACTAGCACCGAGGTCCCGGACCCGAGCACTGGCGCAGTGGACCCAGAAACAAGCGTTAGGATTTATCTGCCCATGCTTAGAGTTTTTGGTCTAAGCATCGATATCTAGTCATATTTTGAAAAATAATTTTCGATTTTTAAAAAAAAAATTATTTTCCTGAATTTAAGCTTAGGTTTTCGGTTGATTCATTTTCCTAAGCGATCTAAATGCTTGAAAATGAGAAAAATGTTTTTCATATTTTCCACAAAACAAACAGAACTTAAT